GCCTGTCTTTTTCATAGTTTAATAAAATTAAGTATTTTAGTAGATCCCAAATCTATATATGCATATAATTACTTTCCTTTCATACCGCTTGCTGCTCTTTCAGTCACTGGGAGCAAAAGAATATTCCATTGTAAACTAGAGATAATTGGAGTCATAGCTTACTTAGGACTGTGACAGAGCTAATTACTTTGTTACATAGTTGGTCAAAAAAAAATACAAGTCCATAGAGTTTAACAAACAGAAAAAATGAATACATAAATAAAATGAAAATCTTTGTATACAGGACCCTACAACCACAGATGTTCCAGAGGAAGGAGGAAAAAACCCTTATAAAGCATGTTTCAATTTGTTGTAACAGGGAAAATACATTTTCATGATCCCTTCAGGCCCAGAGCTGCCATGTAAGATGAATCACACGCTTCTTCATACACCAAAGTACTGAGTATTTTTTTTCTCCTGGTCCTGAACAGAGTAGCTGGAGAGCAAGGGAAAGGTCAATATATGCTGCTGGAAATGGGGGAAAAAGGAAAATTGGAATGGACAAAGCACCAAAGCTAGGATTTAATATTATTGTCAATGAGCACTTCAGCATACTTTAGGAAATGAATGGTTCAGTCACGCTCAATCATAACATGCATTTCTGAATAATAACAATGTTGAATATTGCACGCAGATTTTCCAGCAAGCTGGAATCTTCAGACATTTGTATCTCTTTGTAGAAAATAGAATAAAACTTTAATTGCTTATGCACCATAATGGAAAGTCACCAAATCAAAAATTAAAGTCAAGGCCAGCCCCAACTGTTGGGCAATGAGGTGTAAGAGCTGAACTCTTTTGGTAAAACATCTTACTGAGGATAAACAGTCTAATTCACTTGCCACCAATAAATTAGATGCACTTAGTGAGATGAAACTCTGACACTTCTTTTATAATAATAATGGTCATCACCTCTGAGTGTGGGAACAGATTATGTCATTCTTATTTAAGTTTTATTTGATCAGTTAGCTGAGAGCAAAGGGTCAGGTACATTTTATGCATTGACTGACTTCCACAGACTTTTCTTATTAGCTTCTATGAACCTTTTAATCCGTATGGGTCATTACAATAAATAGTGTAAATGATTTTCTTTAATAGATTCCATTAATAATGTAGGTTAACTATAACTAGACTCAGAAGTCTAGGTAATTCAGGAACATTTTAGAATTTTTAAATTGAAAGCAGGCTTATGTGTTATATTATTTAAAAAAACAATATATAAGTTTAAGCTGGGTGCCACTTACCAGTATTAGCAAATAGATAAATTAGAATGTGAGCTTTTGTTTAAAGTGAGACTCAGTTTTCGTTGAGAAAAAAAGCTAGACCCAACTCAATTATTACACTGAAAACATTCCAGAAAACGTTACTGCAAATGCTCACTTTTTCTTTTCTTTTTGTGAATGCTAAAGTGACAAGTAGGTTGAGCTGTCTTTTCTTTAGTGCCGTAATCAGACTCAGCACTGCAGTATAAAATACATTCACCTTTAGTATCCTTATAGGGGTAATGTTTTTCTAACAGTAAGATAGCCAAAGTAAAAAACCTATGCATTGCCAGGGGTGCCATATTCCAACAAACAGCCAATTAAAGGAGCAGAAGACTGTGAAGTCTGCAAAATCCTGTTTACAAACTGCATGTCAACTGTTGTCAAGAAGTGTGAATTATTATCAGTTAAGGTAGAACTAAAGTCTGCCGTGGTTTCTCAGTACTTATGTCTTAGTGTGCAAGTTTGTGTAGCATATTGGCACACTTACCTGCCAAAGTGCCTTCCTCCAGTGGTGCACTGATCATGCTCCCCCTCATTACCCTGTCACTGACATCTTCATCTTTCATCTGGCCCAAGACTGTATAACTGCCACACATGTGTGGAAGTTCATTTTTTTCCAGCACCCAAAGCATGTGCTTTGAATCCGCAATGCTTAGCTCAGTGTACCAAATTTACAAGAAGCGTTAATTACAGATAAGACAAGGTTTCTCCTGCAATTAAAGATACTATCATCATTTTTTAAGGTTAAAGTTCCTCTTAAAAGAAAATCATGGTTTGTAGCAGATTAAAGCTACAAGCTAACATTAATGACTATACTCACTAAAATGTACTTCACTTCTGAAACTGAAAGTAAAAGGTTAGATCAATTCCTAAAAGTCTTTTCAATATACATACAACATATGATCATCTATATTTAAAGTAGATCTAAACCCAATCAATAAAATCTCATATAATCTTCAACATGTTAATTAAATTGCAAAAGGTAATTTTAAAAGTAATAATATTTTTAAATCTGCAACTTTTATGAAATAATACCTAGTGATTTTGCCGTTAAGTCCCTTGTTCAAACACTTTCTTAATGGGATGGCAATGCTTTCTCCCTCTCTACCAATTACGTTTCAGCATTGTCACTATGTTGCATGCATTCTTTGCACAGGCATGTCTCACCATTGTCACTTTCAGGAAGCCCTAAGCAATAACATGCAACTGCAGGTGGAGTAAGTTCACATAGACAGAATGCTTAGAAGGCTTTAAAAAATAGCAGAACTAAGATGTAAAAAAAAAAGGATAAAAAGGGTGAAGATGGTATTTTGTAAAAGAAAAAAAGCAAATGTTTCGGATACACAGTGCTTCAGCAAATGTGTCATTCAGTATAAGTGTCATTCAGTTAGCATTCACAGCTGCTTAAGTGTTGTTACTTTACTAACTGTGCACTTATATGTACTGTATAAGTTAAATATGTTGTCATTTAATTTCCACCAATATGAAAATGTGTAGTTTTTATTAATATAAAAGTATAATGCAGGAAATAAACCCCAAACTTGTATATATTAATATTTCATCTTGCTTTGCACCAAATTTTATTGTATCTACATTTGTAATGCAAGACGGAAAAGCTGCTGAATATCAGTTTTCATTTTCACCTTTCTCCTATTCTCATATTTTATCTCATTCTTTTTTTTCTCTTTCTTCTTCTGGAAACATGCTCTTTTTTCAATGTGTCATTTTCACAATCTGTGAATGGTTCTTAGACCCCAGATTCCTGTCTCAGGGGTTGCGATCCAATCTTTGAGTTTATAGTTTCAATAAACCTGTATTTGAATGCATACACATACTTAATTATATGCTATAACTCTGACATTCTCAATGATACAATGTACATATGTGGAAATGCATTTGTATTCTTGTGTATTGCTCTCACAAGGAGGTTAAAAATCCCCCTATGTGATAACATGGACATATTACAGGTTATCTTTATGGAGACAACAGGGGTCTATCATACCTCCAATGTCTTCCCTGCTCTCCAATACAGCTAATCAAGCACATATCTCTTTATTAGCTGCAACCTTGGCTAAAGTAGCTGAGTAATGACAGCTGTGAACCTAATGTTACATAATACATGTCACTTCAAGCTTCATTAGTCACAGGGGTATCAGGGACCAGATGTTTCTGTGTTACCTCCTGCTCTCAAAGTTGCCGTTGCAGGCAGAGGTTGGCAGGGGCCTTCTTACTACTGTAAAAGTGAGTGGACCACTGTAGAGCTGCCCAGATCACTTTTATTGAACACCTGATGAGTAGCTGAAAAAAATTACATCAAGATCAAGGCTGCAGCTGCAGCTACGAGCTTGTTTTTTTTTTTTTTTTTTTTTTTTTTTTGTTTTAACCACTTCAGGTCCAGGACATTTTTAAACAGCCTAAGAACCTGAAGTTCTTGCTGCAAGCAGAGCAATATACTTGTTGATATGATAGAAATCCATTGAGCCCCTAACTTCCTGTAGTGAGACGGCAACACTGCCTCTGGTACTCTGAAATTCCAAACTAGCCTTGCCTAAATCTTTTCGGACTACAGAATACCTTCTTCTTGTGTAAATGGAAAAAAAAAATAAGAATAACAAATGACAAGACAATAATCTCAGTCTCATATTGCCTAGTATTTCTTTCTGATAGAATTATTCTAAAATGTACCGGTATTTGATTTGTTGAAAAGAATGTACAAGAAAAAAGTGAATAGTCATGCAACAGACCATTCATGAGATAAATTAACCTACCTTCACCAGGTCCGTCAGTATAAACATTCATGTTGCATTGTAAAACTAATAATATTGAAAATTGAAAATAATACACTGCTCAAAAAAATAAAAGGAAGACTATGAAAACACATCTCAATGGGGAAAAATATCATGCTGGATATCTATACTGATATAGACTGGGTACTGTGTTAGGAATGTCAGGATGCCCATCATTTGATGAAAATGAAAATTATCAACCTACAGTGGACTAAATTCAAAGACACCCCAAAAATCAAAGTGAAAAAATTATGCAGCGGGCTAGTCCAATTTGCTGAAATTTCATTGGAGCAACTCAAAATGGTACTCAGTAGTTTGTATGGCCCCCATGTGCTTGTATGCATGCCTGACAATGTCAGGGCATGATCCTAATGAGACGATGGATGGTGGGTATTTCTTAATAGATCCTGGGAAATTTCACAGGTCCCTGGTGACTGCCAGACCAATTAGGAGGCAGTGGGCACCAGGCTGTGAAGCTGCAAGCTGTCACAGCCTGGTGCCCACAGTTGAGATGCCAGCGCCATGGGGGGAAGAAGGGGAGAAGGAACCCTGCGAGTGAGAACATCGCTGGACTCTGAGACAGGTAAGTTTGTTTTTTAAAAGTCAGCAGCTACAGTTTTTGTAGCTGCTGACTTTTAACAAACACAAAAATGGCTGGAACTCCGCTTCAAGATATAGTCAGTGTACATTGCCCTACCATATATGGCTTATTCAGGATGACAAAAGGCAAACTTAAAGCTGAACTCTGAGTTCAAAAATGTTTATTTAAATATATATCTTGATAGCCAAAGAGGATACAGTATATACAGTTTATATCCACTTATAGATAGTAGTGAAATAATCACCATGTTGTACTAGCCTGTGCAGAGAACAGAGCTGTGGGAGGTGCCCAGCGGGCTCCACCCACTACAGGCTATCTGTAGAAAACTACAGGGATCAGAGACAAGGCCAGTCAATCAGACCAGTCTTTATTAACTTAAGCTCCTGTACAGGGGCGGACTGACAACTCATGGGGCTCCCGGGCAATAGGTGATCATGGGGCCCCTGTGTCCTTGCCCAAACTCAAAATAGCCTATGAAAAGGTACCAGGGGCATCTCAGGGGGCCCCCTACTGACCCTGGGCCATCAGGCAGTGCCCGAGTTTCCAAATGGTCAGTCCGCCCTTGCTCCTGAACAGAGTCAAAATTTCACATTGGAATACTGCATGGATCTGGAAGAAATACACAAATCACACCAAAATTCAAGTAGGAATGCCCATGCCTCTTGTATTTAGACAATATTAGCTTATTAAGGGGGTCAGCTATGACAAACACACAAAAAAAAAAATCATGCCAACTGCAGTCACTGACTTGGCAAGCTGTTTGTTGTCTCTGGCGTTGTCTCTCTTTTTAGTGCTTTAGTGAATGAGCCTGTATCAGTGTATGAAGGACCAGGCTAGAGACAGAAACACCAGACAGAATTGTTATCTATGACATATTTATACAGATAAGCCATTTACAGAAATAAGCCAAGCTGTCAGACATCTCTTCACACATCGCCAACTTTAAAACTTTGCTAAGTGTTAAAAACTAAAGTTCACCTAAAGTCCATATAAAAGAGATACAACGATAATGACAAGTACTTGGAACTTGAAACTTGAGGAAATTAGAAATGCCTTATGAATAAATGCAATAAACATTTTATAGAATGATGTTATTACTAGTAATAGTTACAGCAATTACACAGAGTACTTAGAGAATTTTAGCCAAGCAAATCACACTATCAGTCTTATGCCAAGAATAGGATTTCTGCCAACTGTATAGCCAGCCAAAAATATACTTCTATTCACAGCACTAGGTCAATGGAAATTAACTGTATTAAATAATACCTTAAAAGTGAACATCAATAATCATCTCTGTAGCTTAGCTGTATATTACAACTGTACAAAATGAACAATTTAAGCTAAAACATTTTTTGACATTTTTCATATATAAACGTGACAGATCAAAGCAAATTGGTAATGAAAGCAATAAGGGGGCTGCATTTGCTGACCTTTTTCTAAAAATATCAGTTCCCTGGCTGTTACTCTGACTGTTTGTCTGGCTTCAGTAGTTTTTGAATCATTTATGCTGAACAAGCATGCAGATCATTCTTGACATAGGTTAGTGATTATTTGTATTGAAAGAAGAGGTCAGTATGATAGCCATGCAGCATTTTCAGAAGAAAGGATCATCAAAAACGGACATGTCATTGCAGGTTTATTTTGTCTTTTGGTTGCTAAGAACATACATATAACCATTGATGGCAACAAGGGTTCTGTTCTTAGAATTATGCTGGTAAATACTGTGTATAGCTTAACTTACTCTAAGAGAAGCATTGGATGCTTCTGTCTCATTAGCTGTTCTTGCCAACTTCGCAAAATAGACTGTCAGGCAAATCTTTGTCTCCTAAGAACACTGTGCTATTTTTGCTTCTCTAATCTCTCCTGCAGTAAGAATCAACGGAAGCGATAATTATTCTACTGATGCCTGGGAAAAGGTGGTAATTGTATACTTTATGTATTAAATGAAACATTTATTTGATTTTGTGATTCTTTTAAGTTTAAAAAGTATTCATAAAATGGTAATTATCAATCCTAATTAATGCCAGAATAGTTAATATTATTTTGTAAAGAAAAATAAGGAAAGCAAAATTTTCAAAAGTTATACATAGAACAATCAAAAAGTCATATCTAACAATAAAGAAGTAGAGCTAAATATCTGCCATACATACTAACATATCTAGATTGTACTTCATGTTAAAGTTGAAGGTGACAAAAAGTATCAGATAGGGTTGAGTGACTTGCTATACTTATGCTGCAAGTACAGTTTCTATTAGAGTTGCCTAAATCTGAAGCCCAGGTACAAAGTAAAACACCAATTCATGAAGGTAAGTGTTCTTCACAAATCATTAAATACTTTTTTAAAGGCTGCTAGTAGAAGTACCTAAATTTTACTTGGTATCATTCTTTTGCAATCCTCTATACAGTAGACCTCGAATTGGGAGCAGGATCTTATACAACATAACAATATTTTGTAATACAAGATATCAGCTGGATGATCTTGGGGTGTGAGCCACAGCTCTGTGTAAATTAACTGGGCCTGACGACCCAGAGGCACACTGAGAGAAAAGGATCTCTTTCTTTATCACAGGCAAGGTCTATTGCCTGTGAGAAAGATAAGGAAAAAAGGAACGAGAAACAGAAAAAAGGCTCCCACAGGCTCAGGTAGTGATGGAATTAGTTATAAATTGCCAATGTTGATGGGATGCGTGGTAGGGAGAGCATAAGACCTCCAAAGTTCCTACACCTTAAGAAACTTAGAGTGGGAGTCATGTAAAATACAAGGCATTTTTTCATTAATCAGCAGGGTAGTCAAGTTGCTCTTCACCACTGCAAATGGCACAGAGGACTTCTTTCAAGCCCTGGCTATGGCATGTTTGGGAGTCAAAAACAAATAGGTTGCTATTTCTGCTGGTGTGAAGATAAGCCCTGGATTGGGTAGTGTAAAAGGGTGTATTTGGCCTCTTTGCAAATAGGTACATGAAACAAAGAATATAAAAACCCTGGGCCAAAACCCCACTAGGTGTGGACAGTACCACCACATATGGAGGATGTCTCCATGTTGGCTGCAGCCCCTCAAACATCTATCACTGTGTGATGGGTGTACCCCTGCTAATATGGACGGAACCCAATACCATCTAAGAAGAACCTTTTAATGCTGTTTCTAAGATAGCAGTATTGAAATGAGCATTTTGCTATGGCAGCCCAGGCTTTGCTCCACTCTGCAGGCTCAATAGAAGTTGCTAGGTCACAATCCCATTTGGTAGTTTATGAAATGGATGACGGAGTGCTGATAACATTTAAAGAGGAGTAAATCGCAGAAATGGTGTCTGGGGAGCAGGGGGAGTATAGACAGGTATGCTCAAAAGCCATTTTCTAAAAGGGTTGTCTTAGAGAGTCTACCCAGTAGTGCAAATGAGCAAAATGAGCATATCAAAAGAACTTCGAAGGGAGGCCTCATGGGTTTTCTGGATTGAAGTCCAGATAGGGAAAATTTGGGATGTAAGTGGAAGACCTGTGTAAATCCATGAGATGACCACAAAGAGAAAGCCCTTGGTTGTTCAAGGATTGTCTAAGTAGCAGACTGAGTCCCAGAGCCCCATGTTATGCAACATTAGAGGATTTTTGGGAGAGTGAACAGAGTCTGTGGGGGAGCCACAGAAGGGCCAAAATTGAAATTGGTGCACAATTAGGGAACTCCAAGAACACCCAGAATGGGGTTGTCCGTTGTTGCATGACATATTAAGCTGGGAAATTTTTGCTGCCATGTACTATTTTTTCAAAATTAGGGATGCAGAGACCTCCCCATAGTCTGCATCTAATGAACATGGAGAGTGGGACCCTGGGACGTCTATATGCCAAAATAAAGGATCGATTTCTATTTTGCAGTAAATGTAGGTAAAAGGTATATGTTCACTTTATAGTGTACGTCTGCGTATTGGATTCAGAAGATGTTGGGTTCATCTCTGAGTGCTATAGTCAGATGCTCAAGCACCAGTATAAATAGAATTGGGGACAAGGGGCATCCCTGTCTGGTACCATGAAAAATGGGAAAGGGGGTGGAGAGATGTCCTGCATAATTACCAACAGCGGGTGGAGAAGAGTAGAGAGCTGATATCCACATTAGAACTAAATCGCCAAAGCCCCACCACTCTGGGACATATTATAAATAATTCCATAAAAAGGGAGTCAAATGCTTTGTAAATATCAAGCAAGAGGAGGAAGCCTGGGTTATTGTGGTGGTTCAGTAAGTGAATCAAGTGAATCACCTTATGAATACTGTATCTCGCCTGATGGCCAGAGACAAAGCCCACTTGGTTCCTATGTACAAGGGAGCGCAAATACCTGTTTATGCAGGTGCCAAATATTTTTCCCAGGATTTTCATGTCCTCCTTTGAAAAGGAAATCGGCATAAAGGCCTGGGAGTCAAGGATGTCTTTATAAGACTTGGGGATCATAGTAATCTTTGCCTTTTCTGTTTTTGTTTTCTGCATGACACTACAGAGAACGCTCCGGGATAGGAGAGAGCCCTCCTCCTGACATTTTTTAAAATTTTTCATCTTAAAGCAGCAGTAGAGTTATGCCATACCACTTTTTTTTTTTTTAAATTGGCACTTTATTTGTCTTTTATTGGCACTAAAGTGATTGCAGTTTGGGTTCTGGCTGTACTATCTATGCCAAGGTAGCCTAACCTCCTTCTGTATAAGAATAATAAAGTTTACAGATGAGCCTCTTGATACCTTCTTTGGTACACCTTTCCACCTCTTAAATGCATGTGTAGATATAAGTGCATGACACCAAACATTGATTGCATTTCCAATGACATTTAATAATTTGCTTAGTTACATTATTTTCATTAAACTGTTTTACTGTCATAGCTATTTGCTAACATTCCGCTTAAAGATGTATTTGTTATATTAGTCACACTACGATATAGAAATAGCATTTTTAAAATAATCTCTTTAATACTCTGTGCAAATTATTAACCTTTCCAATTTGTATGTAATTACATGTGATGATTTGAGTCTAATTATAGAAAGGCTGTGATTGAATTTTATTGTGATTAACAGTGTTCTAATTCTGGTAAGGTGATGCTAAATAGCTGCAGTCAATTACAGCATTTACCCTTCATACCAAACCATTTGCTATTCAAAAATCAATGAATATATCAATAGCAACTTAGTATACATTTGAGCTTGTAGCCTTGTACTTAACAAATAGGTCATTATTAGAATAGCTTTTACATTTACACTGTGATTATTGAAGATTGCACCCCCTTATGGATAATTGCAACTGAGAACAGAATTCTACTTGTCAATTAAAGTATTTCCAAGTGAGTGATTTCAAAATGGCTTCAGGATGTAGCATATTGGTGACCATATATC